ACATCTCCTACTGGGGATGTGCCCGAAACCAAGGTACATGCCCTTAACTGGAATTGAACCTGGTACCTTTCAGTCTGCAGGCCGATGCTCTATCCACTGAGCCAAACCAGTTAGGGCTGTACTCACTTCTTTACCCTTGAAAAGAATAGTCTGCCCTGTGAAACTACCATGTTTTCTTCCTGTAACATTTTTATTTCTTATTCTGTCGGTCCCCCAATATAGTCTCTCTGTGGAAATGCAGTTCATCCCACACACTTCATTTCAACATATTTAAATTACCACAGTACACAATGTGGAAGTCACCATAGCTTTCATCCCCCTTGATGGACAGGGCAGGATCCGTGTCTGTTGCTGGACAACCTTTCTCCTGTCTCCCTTTGCAGGAGTTCCTCTTTGAGGTTCTTCCCTTGAGGGAGCTGTTTGCTGTAACCATTCACAGACGCTTCCTAGGTCCCTTGTGCTTCCTTCTCTATGTTTCTTCCTCCATCAGCCTCATCTTCAGAGCATATTACAGTCATCCTTCCTCAGCTTCCCGAGACCTCCATCACTCTTCTCTCCCTTCAGTGGCTCTTCTCAGTTCACAGCCCAATATCCACCTTTAGACACCAATCTAAGATGTCAACTTCAGGTTTCAATCTCTACCAAAATGTTTACCATCCCAAACCAATACAGGTTCTTCCTTCATGCTCCCCCTACTACTTTGCACCTCTTTCAACACCTCAGCCTTCCTTTCTGTGCATATGTCTATTCTCACCTTCTGCATTAGAAAACTTGAAGGCAGAAGCTCTTGTTATTTTTATATTTATCTTTGTCATCTCTGGAGTCCCCCAAAGCCTCCTATAGTAAATTACATTGCATTGATTTTCATTATATTTGACAAATTATTATGTAAATATAAAGAACCTTCATGCTGAAAAGTAGTCCATGCCATAATGAGATTTTTTTTTATTACAGATGACCATAGTAGGGTTAAGCTGGCACAACTTGCTGAAAAAGACGGCAAACTGACTGATTACATCAATGCCAATTATGTTGATGTAAGCATACTTCAACTGAAATGTTATAGAAATTACATTAGAGTAAGAAGTTATTATACCACTGCACCACACACGTACCAGTATTTAATACGTGTTATATGATCGATGATAAGAAACACAAATCAGTGGTGAGAAATTCCCCTGTCTAAAAGATTTCAGACTGAATAACAGCCCAGCTCATATATTTGGTTTATCTTCTAAATGTGTGAGGGATTCAGGCTGGGAATGTATACTCAAGGTAGGATGGATGGATAGATAGATAGATGATAGATAGATAGAGATTTAGGGAGGTTTATAATCCCTTCAATATGGGAGGCAGGACCAGTGCTTATTTTGCATGTCCCAGAGCCCCTGACAATGCTGTGTAGATAGCAGATGATCAATAAATCCTTACTGAAAAACTTCCAAGGTGGTACTAGCTAAAAGTGATTACTACTAACCAGTTATCAATATAACCTCGGACATCCCTCAGGACACCCAGCTTTGTAGGGCCTGTTAGAGCTCCTCAGGGGCTGCAGACCCCTGACTAACTTACTGGTTTTTCACTGTGGTCAACGGAATGTCAGTGGAGCTCAGTTATTCTCCTGACAGTGAGCTCTCAATCTCGCTGCCTTCGTTTTGATGCTGCGTGGAACACTGAATTCAAAGAAGTGAGCACCAAATATAAGTATCCAGTGGGTTTGTTGCAGGCAACCACTTCTTGCTTCCAGATGAGGCAATAAGTATGTCATATCAAACATGGGGTTGGGAGTCAGAACTACTCATTTTGGATCCAGGTCTGCCGCTGGCTAGCTGTGGGAGCTTGGAAAGCTACTTAATTCCTCTGAGCTCCAGCATCCTCATCTTCCAATGAGGATGATGCTTCCATTTTGCAGATCGCTTATGGATCAGGGTCAATGTTTGTAGAGCATCTTGGCCAGCAATGGGTTCTCAGTGAAGCATAGTATTAATCATTGGCGTTGCTCAGTTCCACCAAGGAAAGGGTAAGGAGACACCAGAGGTTTCCTAACTGTTGTAAACAATCGAGTCCCAACGCCTGGACCACGTTTCAAAGCAGCACAGTTAAGGACCAGATTTTAAGCAAAGTCTATAGACTTAGAGTAAATATACTTGGATTAAAGGTGCACAGAATGGTGCACCCTCTTTTTCTACAAAAACATGTAGCTAAAGGAGAGTTGCTGTGTGTTTTAGCACTATTAAGTTTATCCAGCTTTGCAGGTTAATGTTAATTTTTTTTATGGTTTTCTTTTATAGAAAAAAAAATGTGCTAACCTAAAAACGTAAGTCTTAGATGGTTAAAAATGGCATGCAAATCAGTTAGTAAGAAATGTTTTCATTTATTTCTTCAGGGTTACACCAGACCAAAAGCTTACATTGCTGCCCTTTCACAGGGGTCGCCTAAGACCATTGGAAAACACATATATAATTACATATTGTTTTTGTGATTAATCACTATGCTTTAATTATGTTCAATTTGTAACAATGAAAATACATCCTGCATATCAGATATTTACATTATGATTCATAACAGTAGCAAAATTACAGTTATGAAGTAGCAACGAAAATAATTTTATGGTTGGGGGTCACCACAACATGAGGAACTGTATTAAAGGGTCGCGGCATTAGGAAGGTTGAGAACCACTGCCTTATGGCATCCCCAAAGTAATGACTAGAGGCGCTTCAAAGTGCTTTCATGGAGTCAGCCTTAGCAACCAGCAAAGGTAGGAGAGCTCATCAGGCCTCCTTTCCAGTATGACAGCTCAAGGAAAACATAACATTTTAGGGCAAAAAGTTTCACTATTAATCCAGTCATCTGCTATTGAAATGCATTCTTCATAGTTTGAGGAAGATAAATGGGGCTCATTGAACAGCAATGTGGAGTGAGATTGATTGTAATTCAGAAGAGCTGTATTCCAGTGCTGGCCCTATAGTGACTAGATACATCTGGCCACACTTTCCTCATCTGAAAGGGGGAAGTTTGGACCAGATAATTGCAAGTCCCTTTTGCTTCTTTGATCTCTCCCTGGTCTCCTCTTCAGCCAATCTGCAATCACTTAGAAAGGAAAGAAATATTTAGAAGAGTGAGAGTCCATTCCTGTCACAGTCTCAGACCTTCACAGATTTCAGGCACTGCTCTTACGTGGTTTATTGGATATGGAAAAGCATCTTTACTTTCTCTTTTGCAGAGAAAATGTGACCAGTACTGGCCTGCGGATGGTAGTGAAGAGTATGGGAACTTTCTGGTCACTCAGAAGAGTGTTCAAATGCTTGCCTATTATACTGTGAGAAATTTTACCCTGAGAAACACAAAGATAAAAAAGGTGAGTCCATAAATGATGGACATTCTCATTTGAGTAGCACATCTGGCCCGTTTGCAAGTGAACGGGTGGTATAACGAAGATAAGGTAAAAATGTATAATAAAGGCATTAAGCGTTCTTACTATAGCTACACCTCAATCCCAAAGTTTCTTCCAAGTCTCTAAATGCCAGCCATGGCTTTGGAGCTAGATTGGACATGGTGCTGATGGTTGCAGTGGATTTGATGCACAAACAAAAATTCCTGCCCCTTTCATCACTGCACATCCAACTAAAAATAGTGGAGCTTAAAGTAAGGGAAGGGGAAAAACAGAACAATGATGTAGTAATCAGGGAGGGAAGTAGGAAGGGAGAGAGGGAAGGAGGAAGGTGGGAAGGAGGGGGGGGGGGAGAAAAGGACAGAAAGAGAGATACTGAGCTTGAGATTGACTGACTCCAGGGTGGAAATTCAGGCAGTGTCTGTGTTACAGACGTGAGGAGAATTCCTTCCTCTCTCAAAAACCTCAGTCTACTCTTCAGGCCTTCATCTAATTGCATGAGGCCCACTCATATTTTGGAGCATAATCTGCTTTACTCAAAGTCTACGGATTTAAATGTCAATCACATCTAAAAATATCTTGACAGAAACATCTGGTATGACTTGGTGTTCGCCTAAACCACAGGCCACTACAGCCTGGCCAAGTCAACACATAAGATTGTTACAGAGAATCGGAATAAATCAAGCAATGCTCGGAGAGTTTGGAGTCACACTTAATTTTATGCGCCAGCTCAGAGAAAAATGCCTTTCAAATTCTGGGCCAAGCTACAAGCAGAACTTCCCTTTTTATTAAAGGGTCAGCCCTATGTGTGCTTAGTGGTAATCTCGCTGGTGGCCTTGAAAACAACACAGTTCTATCCAATTAAAAATACACCTGGCATGGCATTGAGAGTATGGGCGTATCTAGTCTCTGGCCTACAAGGTCAGACAGCTAAGTTTATCTTCCTCATTATTCAAGCAGGCTAAAGCAGGCTAGAAAGCAAAGCTATTATTTTTTTAGAATAAGAGGCCGTCTAAAAAAATAGCAGAGAATCCCAAACAGTAGTTTTACAAAATAGGGGTTAGCCTTCTCAAGATCAACCATCACAAACAACAGTGTGCACATTTGCTTCATTACAGGCTGCCCACACCCAGCTGTGAACCCTAAGCTGCTTAAGAGCCCCATGTGTTTTGCGTGTATTCCTGTGATTGATTGCTGTCTGGTCTTTTCCAGGGCTCCCAGAAAGGAAGGCCCAGTGGGCGCGTGGTCACGCAGTACCACTACACGCAGTGGCCCGACATGGGAGTGCCAGAGTACTCGCTGCCCGTGCTGACCTTCGTGAGAAAGGCATCCCAGGCCAAGCGCTACGCGGTGGGGCCTGTGGTTGTCCACTGCAGGTGAGTCTCTAACCCACAGACTTGCTTATGCTAACGACCAGGAAATCTTGAAGTGGTTTTGAAACTGGACAACCAGTGAGTCCTGGCTGCCTGTCACTATTTGAGCCAATTCAGCGGAGACAGGGTTGAATCATCTATGAGTGTTTATTCCAATAAGCCGGCAGAATGGGAGAACAGCAAGTCATCCACAAAAATCTGCTCTGCAGCCCCCCTAAGCCAACTGCTTAAATAGGGTACGAAAAAAGATTACATGGGGAAGTAGGGATTACAGGTATGGGGAAGTACGCAATTCAGGCTGGGGTGAGACTCCATTGTTTGGGCAGCAAGGTTGTTAATCTTTCCATTCTTGAATGAGAATGGACCACATTTCAAGGTTGACTCCCATGTCCCAGGTGCATACAACACCCAGCCAGGTCAGAATGTCCTTTCTTAAACCAACCCGAGGCAATCATGGTTAATACTTCCCATAACCTTATTGTTAATGTAAAAACATTCAAACCTGTAAAGAATTTGTGTGAGTTTATGTGAGCCAAACTGTGGACAATTGCCAGGAAGCAGAATCTCAACGGATTGGTATGATGCTCCGAAAAATGGCAGTTCTTCACCTCGTTTTATACATTACAATCAAAGGAGGAGATCTAGGTGGGCTACAGGAAATCCATTGGTGATAGATTAGGGAGGCAGGGTAAAGCAAAGGGGGGAACCTCTGGGATTGGATAAAAAGTAAAATGATAGACACATCTTTTATTTAGGTGGGTGCAGGATAGCTAACAGCAACAATTAACATGATAACAATAATAGTGAAGGAACTTGTGGTCTCTGTCCTGGCGCCCAGGGCATTTGGTTGTGCCCTGAGGGGTCCAGAAAAAAAGGGAAATTAAAGATACCCTGACATTTCAAGGATATGTTATCATAGATGCAAAAAGACAATAGGCTCAGTTCAGGTAAAGATTGACCTTGTCAGGGAAGACACCGGCATATGACGTGACTATCCACCAAAACTGCTTTTAGTTAAAGTTTAATTTCAGACCATCCCTGTGGTTACTTTAGGTCTTAGAGTTTGCAAGACCACCATGCAGGCCTTCCCTGAGCTTGTCAGGTTAGCATGTGGCCCCTTTTGTCCACAAGGGCTAGTCCCCAATATTCTATTTTGCCCCTAACAGTTTCATGAGGGGAATGAAATCACATACAGGTTTTCATAAATATTGATCACTAGGTAATGAATATGTCAGACTCCAATTTGATTGCTGAATATTTCAAAGCACCAGGTATTTTTACAATGTTTATTATATCCTATTTGACTGTTGAATTGGGTTTCAACTTATTAATCATGTGAGGCAGGTGGAACAATGTTTTGTCCTTAAACATTGATTACAATATGGCATGAGATAAAAATGCTTGAGAAGCAACAATCTATTGTAGAGGGATCCTATTTGACTGTTGAATTGGGTTTCAACTTATTAACCATGTGAGGCAGGTGGAACAATGTTTTATCCTTAAACATTGATTATAATATGGCATGAGATAAAAAATGCTTGAGAAGCAACAATCTATTGCAGAGGGTTTGTTTTGTTTTGTTTTGTTTTGTTTTAATCCTCACCCAAGGACATGCTTAGAGAGAGGCGGGGAGAGAGAGAGAAACATTGATGTGAAAGAGAAACATCTATACGTTGCTGCCCATACGTGCCCTACTAGCATCGTAGCTACAACACAGGTATGTACCCTGACTGGGGACGGAACTGACAACCTTTTGGTGCACTGGGCAATGCTCAATCAACTGCGCCACACTGGCTGGGCTGTTGAAGAGTTATTATGCCAGGCTTACATTAGAGAAAACATAGCACACGGTGTGTGAGGAATCTGACAGGATACTTTTAAGTTGTTTTAAAACAGTTTGGACTCTAAAACCCTTTCTCATTTTCCTGAGTTCTCCCTAATATACCCTATTGAATGTGTCATCAATTCATCCTTGCCCAAGTCGTTTAATTTCCAAGCCTGGATTGATGATAGGGGAAAAAAAATGATATAACAGAGAAAGAGGAAACAACATTGGAGGTTTCAGGTGCTATTTTTCAGTTAAAATAAAAGTAGCAGTTAACCCCTCCTGAGTGTGGACTCTCCACCAAGCTTTGTGACCACAGAAATCAAATCCATTTCTGTGTGCAGTGTTTTCATCAAAGCAGTGCCCGTGTTCTTACAGAAGCAAGTATTTTCCTTTGCTCTACAGCTTATCTGACATATTCTAATTACCTATCTCAGGAGTTCTCTTCAGACAAAGTTTGAGAGACCTATCTTGAGGTTTTTATCTGTTCACCTGAAGATAAGCTGAGGGAAACAGGAAGATGCAAGAAAAACAGCTCTGAAGGTCAGGAATTGTTTCTGAGCAAATGGAGAAGGACCAGGGTATTGTGCAGGGCAGGTGCCAATTTTCCTCTCTAGCACTTTCCACTTGTTGGAGCCGCTGAAAGGAATCCAGTCTGTGAATTCTGTCCCTTCAGTAGAGTCTTTGAAGAAGTCAGTAGATAATGACCCTTTAGAAATGACTGAAGTTAAGCTTTATTCTTCACGCTCTCGCTGAAATGATATTTTTCAGCTGCAAGCCGGATCAAATTCTTTTTCCCATTAATGCGGAAATCTTTACAAACATGTCTCCCTGGCAATACAGACCCAAGGACCTTTTCTTTTCAGAATCTGGTGACGCTGGTGCTTTTATTTTTCTCAGATTAATTGTCTATTTATTATGCTCTGACAAACAATGTTTTCACTGTGCAATATAAAATGAATAATAAATATAATTATTGAAAATAAAAAATCTACAACAGAGCCCTGGCTGATTCGGCTCAATGGATAGCGCGTCAGCCTGCAGACTGAAGGGTCCGTTCAATTCTGTTTTCACTGTGCAATATAAAATGAATAATAAATATAATTATTGAAAATAAAAAATCTACAACAGAGCCCTGGCTGATTCGGCTCAATGGATAGCGCGTCAGCCTGCAGACTGAAGGGTCCCCGGTTCAATTCCAGTCAAGGGCACATGTCTGGGTTGTGGGCCGATCCCCAGTGTGGGGCATGCAGGAAGCAGATGATCAATGATTCTCTCTCATCACTGATATTTCTATCTATCTCTCCCTCTCTCTTCCTCTCTGAAATCGATAAAAAAAATATTTTTAAAAAAATCTACAACAGAAATAGATTGTTTTGCAATTTGACTGGTAGGAAAAAAAATTAATGGAAACGTTGTCATTTGAAGCATATGCTTACCAACTACTTCAATTTTGGATAGCTAATTATTTATTATGTGGCTAGTTTGCTCGAGGAAGGAAATTATTTTCATTTACAAGACAGCTCATTGTGACCTATCTTCCAATTTATTCTGTGCTTGACATTGAAACAGTTTATCTTTTGTTTTCTTTAGTGCTGGAGTTGGGAGAACAGGCACATATATTGTGCTGGACAGTATGTTGCAGCAAATTCAACATGAAGGCACAGTCAACATATTCGGCTTCTTAAAACACATCCGTTCACAAAGAAACTATTTGGTGCAAACTGAGGTATGAGAAAAGGGATTCTTTTATTTATCTAAGGGTTGGAAACATCACTAAAACGCTAACGCTGGATAGACAAGTGTTTGTATTAGCAGGCGAGTTAGTCTGGCAAGGCTGCCATAGAAAGTACTACAAACCGGTTTAAACAACAGATACGGATTGTCCCATCGTTTTGGAAGCTGGAAGTCTAAAATCGCGGTGTTGGCAGGGCCATGCTGCCTCTGAAACCTCTAGCGGGGGGTCCTTTATTATCTTTTCAAGCTTCTGGTAGCACGTGTGTTCCTGGGATGGAGCAGCCTAAGTCCAACCCCTGTCTCTGTCTTCAAAGGGCCCTTTTCCCTCTGTGTCCATGTCCCAATTTTCCTCTCACAAGGACACTAGCCACTGCCTCAGTCTAATTATTTACATGTGCAATGATTCTGTTTACAAGTACGGTCACATTCTGAGGTGCTGGGGGTTAAGGCTGCTTTTGGGGGGACACACAGTTCAACCCATAAGAGGTAATTGCGTATAATTCATGGAAGGGCCAGATAAATTTTGTCTATTTTGTGACCAAATGGGAACTATCTTTAAAGTAACACCAATTACAGAGGAGATTCAGAAAATGAATCTTCCGCTAGCAAAATCCTCAAGTTTTTCCTCCACATAGTCAACGAATGGATTCATTTTTATATTTAAAAAGCATGAATTATGCTCAAGTTCTATCCATTTTTAGGCCCATGTTCTTTACACGTTGGGAGAACAGGCACATATATTGTGCTGGACAGTATGTTGCAGCAAATTCAACATGAAGGCACAGTCAACATATTCGGCTTCTTAAAACACATCCGTTCACAAAGAAACTATTTGGTGCAAACTGAGGTATGAGAAAAGGGATTCTTTTATTTATCTAAGGGTTGGAAACATCACTAAAATGCTAACGCTGGATAGACAAGTGTTTGTATTAGCAGGTGAGTTAGTCTGGCAGGGCTGCCATAGAAAGTACTACAAACCAGTTTAAACAACAGATACGGATTGTCCCATCGTTTTGGAAGCTGGAAGTCCAAAATCGCGGTGTTGGCAGGGCCATGCTGCCTCTGAAACCTTTATTATCTTTTTGAGCTTCTGGTAGCATGTGTGTTCCTGGGTTGGAGCAGCCTAAGTCCAACCCCTGCCTCTGTCTTCAAACGGCCCTCTTCCCTCTGTGTCCATGTCCCAATTTTCCTCTCACAAGGACACTAGCCACTGCCTCAGTCTAATTATTTACATGTGCAATGATTCTGTTTACAAGTACGGTCACATTCTGAGGTGCTGGGGGTTAAGGCTGCTTTTGGGGGGACACACAGTTCAACCCATAAGAGGTAATTGCGTATAATTCATGGAAGGGCCAGATAAATTTTGTCTATTTTGTGACCAAATGGGAACTATCTTTAAAGTAACACCAATTACAGAGGAGATTCAGAAAATGAATCTTCCGCTAGCAAAATCCTCAAGTTTTTCCTCCACATAGTCAACGAATGGATTCATTTTTATATTTAAAAAGCATGAATTATGCTCAAGTTCTATCCATTTTTAGGCCCATATTCTTTACACATCTGTGGCACAGGACAAGTCTGCATATCTGTGTTGGTTGTCGCTATGTCTAAATAAAAAGGAATGTAAATTGAAAATTATTAATGGCAGCTTGAAAGCGATTGGAAACAGAACAGGTTTTAAACCAAACCAAATTTCATTTCATAAAAGAACTGACATTCTAGTCACATAAGACTAGAGCAGTGGTTCCCAGTGTGGGGCACACACTCCACAGGGGGGCAATTTGATTTTTAAGGGGGGGGGCTTTCAAGAATGAGTTATTAACAGTGAATTTTTTGCATTTCTTATGACTCTAGGGGCCTCATATACAGTATATAAATATATCTTGTGACATATTTATGCATTTCAGTTCTCTATTATATGTTTTGAAACTCTGCTATTTTTTCATATCACTTTGTATTATTATTTTTTAACAATTTCTTAGTGATTTCTTCTTCAGTACTTCAACTGTCCTTTCGTTTGTTTAGTTTTCTCTTTCATGGATGCCATGTTCTTTGGAAGTTTGTTTAGACCAAGTGAATGGCCTTTGACGCTTCCTGCATGTGAATAGGAGTTCACTTTTTGAATAATAAGAATTATATGTCACGGGGAGGAGGGGGGCAGGCGGGGCATCAGGATTTTAGAGATGCTTAGGTGGGGCACGGCCAAAAAAAAGGTTGGGGACCAATGGTCTAGAGAAAAGAGTCCTATTCATAAAAAGGAGATAACTCTTTAAAACCGTATAAATAATTACACTAAATTATATATGACGGGCTAAAGGGAGAATTATAATGGACAGAGGGGAAGACCCATCAGAGGGATAGAGGTCATGGAAGTCCTCATGCAGAATGCGGACGTGGGCCTTGGGTTGACGGCAGGGCAGAGACAAAGAGATGCTTAGGTGGGGCACGGCCAAAAAAAGGTTGGAGACCACTGGTCTAGAGAAAAGAGTCCTATTCATAAAAAAGAAGATAACTCTTAAAAACCATATAAATAATTACACTAAAGGGAGAATTAGAATGGACAGAAGGAAAGACCCATCAGAGGGATAGAAGTCATGGAAGTCCTCATGCAGAATGCGGAAGTGGGCCTTGGGTTGACGGCAGGGCAGAGACAGGGCATTGCTGTGCCTCCTCAAATCATCCTGCCTCCTTCCCACAGGAAATGGAGAGGTGAGGGAAGAGAAGAGCTCTGTTCCCCCTCCACGGCCTCTTTTCCTCCCCCTGCCTTCCTGCCGGGCCTGATAAGCAATCTTTTGTGGGTTTCTCTCCACCCTCAGTATAACTCCTTCTGTCTGTCAATGGAAGATACTGCTTTTATACCTAGATCAGCGGTTCTCAACCTGTGGGTCTCGACCCTTTGGGGGTCGAACGACCCTTTCACAGGGGTCGCCTAAGACCATCGGAAAACACATACATAATTACATATTGTTTTTGTGATTAATCACTATGCTTTAATTATGTTCAATTTGTAACAATGAAAATACATCCTGCATATCAGATATTTACATTACGATTCATAACAGTAGCAAAATTACAGTTATGAAGTAGCAACGAAAATAATTTTATGGTTGGGGGTCACCACAACATGAGGAACTGTATTAGGAAGGTTGAGAACCACTGACCTCGATGCACCTAAGGAAAACCTGAGTAATATTCCCTCCTGCCCCTGCCTTGCCAGGAACAGTACGTCTTCATTCACGACGCGCTGGTGGAGGCCATACTGAGCAAAGAGACTGAGGTGCCAGAGAGTCATATTCATGCCTATGTCAACGCGCTCCTCATTCCCGGGCCGACGGGCAAAACAAAGCTGGAGAAACAATTCAAGGTGAGTCCTCTTGGCAGCGCCTCGGGTCCCGCCACAGAACTGAATGTGCCTGCCTCCCCTCGTTGGAGTCGACAGGGCCATGGGGATGGGTGGAGAGAGCTGCTGGCACAGTGGCTCCTATTGTTCTCTGCAACGGGCAGCGAAGCCACGTGGTACGTTTCAAGGAGAACCTTCCTCTGGAGTGGCGAGAAGAAAAAGTTCTCAGAAACCCTAGACTAACTTTCATAAATGCAGACTCGGGCAGGGGAAGGGGGGCACCCAGCCCACCAGGATGAACAGACAGGCCTTACAATACAGACCGCACAAGTGCTCTTCTCACGTTGAAAAAACCAGACCACTCAGCCTCGAGTGCGGTGGCTCGGGCTGTTCGTGCTGCTCTTTGGAAAAAGTCTGCCCCACTTGAAGGCCCTGAGCTAGAATAGGCGACACCACAACAATGGCTTCTGCAACCCCGTTTCTCCCACGCACCCTGTCCCCCGGCCGCGCACCAGGGAGGAGAGCACGGGGTGTTTCTGTTGTTGTTTAATATTATTCCTCCTGCAGCCCAGCTCTCTGACTTCCAGAAATCAGGGAGCAAAGAATTCAGAAAGCAGGTGTTACCCGGCCTGCCAGCTGGGGCCGGGGCTTCCGGAGGAATGGAGGCTGCTGCTGTGCTCCCCGTTATTCCCGTGCTAACCTCTTACTTCCCAGGATCCCCGGAGAAACAGGGCCAGGTTCTGGAGAAGGACAATCTGGGAAGAATTCAGAAGACGTTGGAAAAACCCAGGAGAGTTAGTTAACAAACCTTGAGATTTCAGGTTTTCCCCTCCCTTCTCCCCAGCCTAGGACATAGAAGATGTTAGCACTGAATTGTCTCTGATGTGTGGCCCTCTTAGCACCGTTTGCACTTGGGAGGAGTAAGAGAAAGACGAGGGGTGAATGCTGCACTGAGAACCTGCTGTTGGGAAAACATAAACGTTTCACTCAGTCAAGCTTCTCTGAGGCAGAAAGAAACACTGAAGGAAACGTGCCCGGCACGGCTCCCAGAAACAGATAATAAGGAAATACTAAATGTTAACATTAGGTTGTTAGGATAGCTTTTCCTTTAATTAAAAAAAAATACATATGTCTTACCCATATTCAGCATTTCACTATGTGCTATCCCTGACACAGTTCTATAAGAGAACTGATACGGCTTCCACTGGATGACCAGGATCAAATGGAAATATCAATTATGACATCAGACTCCAATGAAAAAGAGAGACATTTGACCCTGTTTCCTGTTAACATCATAAGTAGGAAATGCAGGTGTGTGTGCGTGTGCTATATTGTCATATAAGGAAAGGTATTGATTCAAGTTTATCCATAGGGAAATTTCTCTGAAATAAATTACATGTCTATTTATTCAACAAATATATATCAGACACCTATCACATGTCAGGCTTTTGTGTTTGACACTGATTTTATTTTATTTTTTTTGAAACTGATTTTAAAATTAATATAGCATAAAGGTCCCAAAACATCCAAACCAGTACTGAAAAATAAGAAATAGAAATGTATTGTACTGCTTATGGAAGACTTATTATGCAGATATAATAATATTTAAAAACAGACAAATAAGCCAGAGGAGCCATGCACATGTGTAAATTGTTGTGATTAATACGACATTCCAAATTAGTAAGGTAAGGATGAACTAATCAGTAAATGATATTAAACAATTCCTCTGTGGGATCAAGTAAATTTAGGCCCCTACCACACCTCAAACACTACAATTATTCAGGATGGATTTTAAGTACCTCAAGGTGAACGCTAACTATTATAACTATTAGAGGGACATACCTTTCAAGGGTTCAGAGTAAAGAAGGGATTTTTAAATAAAAACATAATCTACAAAAATCTTAAGGGAAAACTTAATACATTGGGTGTAAATGTCTATGTGATTAAAGAGAACAAAGATATTTGCAACTTTTTAAACAGACTATAGGTTTACCTTCAAGATATCAAAAACCCCTACAAATCAATAACTGACAGTGAAGCAGAAATATGAAACTACAGTCCTCAAAGAAGAAACCTAAATGGCTGATGAACATTAAAGTACTCCATCTCACAATAATTAAGGAAATGCAAATCAAAACCATGATACAGCACTTTTTTATATATCTAAACTTAAGCACTGGACACCCTAGTTGGTTTGGCTCAGTGAACAGAGTGTCAGCCTGCGGACTGATGAGTCCCTGGTTTGATTCCAGTCAAGGGCACATGCTTGGGTTGCAGGCTCCATCCCCAGTGAGGGGCATGCAGGAGGCAGCTGATCAATGATTCTTTCTCATCATTGATATTTCTATCTTTCTTTCCCTTTCCCTTCCTCTCTGAAATCAATAAAAAAGAAATTTTTTTTTTCAAAAAGACTTAAACACTGGTGACTCCTAATTCTCTGTAGAAATCCTCACATGTGTGAACATTCAGAAATATAGAAGGGATATTCATTGCTACAAATTTTGACATAGCAAAACATTGGAAATGACCTGAACATTCAGTAATTGGGGAATAGATAAATAGCAAGTAGATTATTCATGTGATGGAGTATTAAAAGAATGAATAAAATCCAACTATGCTCATATATATTTACACACACACACACAGTATGCAGCTTGTCTCCCAACTGCACGAGATTTAAGTAGAGGAAATGGAGAGTGCACACCCACTGAGGAAGCCATGGGGAAGGTCTTCCCGATGCTGCAAGTCACCTAGGAAGCTAGTGTTCTCTGCTTCTTCCAGCTTCCCTGGTGTAAAACACAGATGTGCCACAGAGTTCCCTAAAACAAGTTTAGTTCAAGGAATTCTTGAAAAAAAAAGTCAGATTTGTTTATATTCAGTATCCTACCTTGGTTGGGCTGTGTCTATGTATAGGAGTGTGTGTGTGTGTGTGTGTGTGTGTGTGTGTGTGTGTGTATTTGAGTGACTTTAATAAAATAAAAAATAACCTGTATTTTCCTTCACTCCCATTCTCAGCTCCTGAGTCAGTCAAATATACAGCAGAGTGACTATTCTACAGCCCTAAAGCAATGCAACAGGGAAAAGAACAGAACTTCTTCCATTATTCCTGGTAGGATATGTTGAATCTAGAAAAAAAAAACACAACAAACTTTTTTTGGTTTAGAATACAAACCTTGTAAGGAATTTGACAATATTTGTACATTTTAGGACAAAAGCAATACACTCAGATTTTTTCTAATTATGTAACTTTTAAAAAGGACTCTCAAACCCTGAAGTGTCATCTAAAACTGCAAAATACATGGTAACGTGAGCTTAAAGGTCACAGACACTCAGCTTGAGACATGCAGCTGTGTTTTGCCATGTGGGGCTGAAGGGGAAGGTGTAGCATGGGGGGCACGGTTGTTTACCCAGAATGCTTTGTGTTGCAGTGGAAAGATCACGGGTTGGCATTTCGTCCCTGAGCGGGGAAGGCACAGACTACATCAACGCCTCCTATATCATGGTAAGTCAGAGAAGTCGCTGGGGAAACTGCCTGCCAGTTTGTGTTACCAGAACCAAAACCAGAGTGAGCTGCCTGAAGCAGTAGCTGGGAACATGGGCAGCAGCCCAGGTGGACAGAAGTCAAATCTGATGACGGCAGGCCCACCACCCGCAGTAGCGATAGAAGACAGCATTCCCTGATGCTGTAATGTAGGCTGGGACTGGGAAAACCTGCAAGTAAGTAGGTGCAGGGAGCAAACACCATTAGGGCTGATGAAGAGACACAAAACATGTGCTCATCCATCAGAGGGCCTCTGGACACCAAAGTGCCCTGTTGCCAGAGGTGTGAAATTTGCACGCTGTCGCTGGGACTTGTGGGAAATGAGAAATGTAACTCTCTCTAGATTTCCACCCTATTTAGTGAAGGAGATAGGGTTCATAAGTCATTTTGATAAGTCTGCTCCTAGAGCTGATGGCTGTGTGAACTTGGGCATCTGCTTAATCATCTGTAAAATGGGGATCACATTTTCTATCCCGTAGTACCGCTGGGAGGAATAACCAACTTAATGGGAAGAAATGCTTAGTGCTATACCTGGTATAGAGCAGTGCCCCCTAAACACTGACTGGCGTAATCACATTGTTACTTAAAAACACAATCTGAAAATGAAGAGACGGCCATAAACCTACCAATGTTTTCTGAATATTTAAAGTCATATGTCAAGGTTTTATCTACCTTCTTTTTGATTGTGTAGGGTTATTACCAGAGCAACGAATTTATCATCACTCAGCATCCCCTTCTCCACACCATCAAAGATTTCTGGAGGATGATATGGGACCATAACGCCCAGCTGGTGGTTATGCTTCCTGATGGTCAAAACATGGTAAGGCCCTCAGGCCGCTGTTAGTATTTTCCTTGAGGTTAGTATTTTCCTTGAGGGAGAACTATCAGCTCACAACAGCCGGAAGTCCAGCAAACAAACCAGTCATGTTTTCAACTAATAAAGTAATGTCCCTGGAGTTGCACCTTGACTATTACTGGGCCTGGTTTGGTTATGCAATCAGATCTGAAATTGTTGAATGACAGTTTTAAATAAGGGTAGGTTGAAATTAATTTAAATTTAAGTATTTTGTGACACAGTCTAAGAAACTTACAATCACAATCATGAATGAAGTCAGTCCATATGCTTCTACTGTATATATTTTTAATAAAACTTTGTAAGATATTTGGAGATTCCCTCAGTTTGAGGCTATCCATAGAAGACCAATTTGGAATAAAGTGAACTCCCAGTATCCGAAGGACTTTTTAGTATCAGAAAATCATGGATGCCCTATGCTACTATTCATATGTATTTGGAGAAACCCCAAAATAAAATCTAATTAATATCTCATTTAGCCTTTGCATATATACCTTGAGATTCATTTCTTGTCCATAAAGTTATGCTGACCATTCCAAATGATGCTGTAAATTGCTGAGCTCTTAAAAACACTTGACTTTCATCTACTAAGTTATCAATTATAGAAGCAACAACTAATCTTTGTTATTGATAAACTAAGGAAACAAAAAAGCAATAATTTGTGTTCTTAAGTTTTATTCTGCAGGTCAATCTGGTTTATAAGACACAAGATTTTAAGAGTAAATTTTGCAGTTCAAAGAAAAACGTGTTGAATTGTCTATGGCAACCAGTTACCTTCATTTCACAGCCTGCTTAATTAAGAAATTTTATTAAAATCTAGCATTTTCTTTGGTTTTTAATCCTCCAGGCAGAAGATGAATTTGTTTATTGGCCAAATAAAGATGAGCCTATAAATTGTGAAAGCTTTAAGGTCACTCTTATGGCTGAAGAACACAAATGTCTGTCTAATGAAGAAAAACTTTTAATTCAAGATTTTATCTTAGAAGCTACACAGGTATGGATATAACCTAAATGATAAACTTTTCATCTTAAGCACATTTAAATATATGCTCTTTAAGGATCTTTTCCAGCAATAAAAAGAAGGAAACCGATTTCTTACAAATTGAGACAGATTACCTAAATAGTTTTACTTTACTTGTCACTTTCATTTTCAAAATCTTGTAGAATCATTAAATACTTAATTATCACTAAATGACAGGGTTCCTGACTTCTACACACACAGGAAAACAACGATTTCTCTTTTACTTCAGAACAGTTGCCGATAGAACTTAAGTTGAAAGTAAACAAAGTAAAAAAAAGTTGAATCAATCCTTATTCTCATGTGTTAACTTTACCTTGAATTCTCTTAAGTAAAATGGGAAACATATTACCTAGTAAACTAACGCATTGCTGTCCAGGAATATATGAGCTGATAAGTGAAGAAGTGCTTTGAAAATGTGCAGTGAGCTAGAATTGTTTTACTAAATTAAATTATATATATGAGAGGAAGAGGGAGATAGAAACATCAATGATGAGAGAGAATCATTGATGAGCTGTCTCCTGCACACCCACTACTGGAGATTGAGCCCGCAACCTGGGCATGTGCCCTGACCGGGAATCAAACCGTGACCTCCTGGTTTATACTAGTAGGTAGACCTATGCTGAACCACTGAGCCATGGCGGCCAGGCTCTTGTTACTTTTATAAGGAAATCATCTGGTGCCTTTTTAAAAAATGCATTTTTACCTTGAAAAATCACCTTTTTACCCTTTTTCCTAAATGTTTTATAGCTCCACCTGAAATTGACATTTTCTATTATGTTTTGTGAGGCAAGGCCCAATTTCCTTATTTTCCATGTGGATAACCATTGTCCCAGCATATTTAGTGATCAGCAATACCAGTTCAGTCATAAATCAGATTTCTCTCGTATATGTATGGGCTTGTTTCTTGGATCTCTATGTATTATATTGGTCTCTTTGTTCATGCCTCTGCCAAAACTATAGGTTCTTGTTCATTCTTATAGGATATAAGACTTTGTGATAGCTAATGAGATAGTTTCCTATATTGACTATCTTCTTCAGTTGTATCTTGGATATTTTGGACTTTTGCACTTCCATATAAAATGTTGGTTCTGCTGCTTTTTTAAAATTTATTTTTTTATTATTCTTTAAAATATATTTTTATTGATTTCAGAGAGGGAGAGGGAAAGATAAAAACATCAATAATGAGAATCATTGATCAGCTGCCTCCTGCACACCCCCTACTGGAAATTCAGTCTGCAACCCCAAGCATATGCCCTTGATCAGAACCGAACCTGGGACCCTTCAGTCCGCAGGCCAACACTCTATCCACTGAACCACGCCGGCTGGGCATCTGCTGCTTGTTTTTAAATGTAACATTTGATTGTGTACACTTCAGGAGCCGGGAGGTCTGAAGTGTAAGGGATTTAAAGTCACACAGGCTGCTTGGTCACTTAAGCAAGAATCAGAACTGGGACCAGGTTGAAACCAAACACCACCCTCCTTGCCAGCGTCTTCCCCAGTGTCCTGCTGTCTCTTTTCCCCTTAGTTAAACCTGAGTGATACTGGTACTGAAAAAGTCTATGATATTTTTAAAATAAATTTTAACACTGAAGATTTCTTTTTGTAAGTTTAAATTTAGCATCACAGACACATCTTTGGCACATACTTTCATGGTTTGATTGGCATAATCCCACAAATAAGGTTTATCGTTAGAATAAGAAAGAGATGCATCTATATGTGACCAGTGTGGCCTCACAGCAACGTCTCTCTTCTGTGGAGGACAGGCTGACACTGTTGCTGCTCGCTTGTGCGTGCTGTTGGCTTTCATCACCTTCCTGTGATTTCTGATTTTCCTCACTTATTCTACTCAGTAACCCATCTGATTCTTTTAAACACATGATTTTTTTCTTTCTTGTTATAGGATGATTATGTACTGGAAGTGAGGCATTTTCAGTGTCCCAAGTGGCCAAATCCAGATAGCCCCATTAGTAAAACTTTTGAACTTCTAAGTCTTATCAAAGAAGAAGCTGCCAGCAGGGATGGGCCCATGATTGTCCACGATGAGTAAGTTCCACACTCGAAATCAAGTTGTGCCTTAGCATCCCCTCGGCGTACTCGGATTTCTGCTGTCTCTGTACTCACCTAATGCTTTGGGCCAATGTAGTGATTCAGTGTGGGTGGATTATCTGCTTCTTACAAGGTGAACACGGAATTTCTTGTTTTCACTTCTCTTGGAGCTCCTCTTGAAGGCAGGAGATGGGTGTGGGATCACAAAAATGTGCTCTTGCAATGGATGCCAAGAGCCCTTTGTGTGATGGTCCAGATTGATTGATTGATTTATAGTTAATCCTCGCCCGAGGGTATTTTTCAATTGATTTTTAGAGAGGGTGGAAGGGAGGGAGAGAGACACACAGAGAGAAACATCAATGTGAGAGAGACACACTGATTGGTTGCCTCCCGTGCATGCCCTGACCAGGGCTAGGGATAAGCAAGCAACCGCGGTACGTGCTCTTGACTGGAATCAAACCTGAGACTCTTCAGTCCATGGGCCAACACTCTACCCACTGAGCCAAACTGGCTAGGGCTGATGACTCATTTTAGCATTTGAATTTTTACAGGTGCTAATCAGAGACATTTCTCAGCCATGAACTTTCTTGGAATAGGAGTAAAATTGATATATTTTTTATTTACCAGAAACAGAGATCTTTATCCAATAGGTCTTTCCAGGTTTTTGCTATAAGCAAATAAAAAAATGTGTGTGCTGGAATTACGTATTATGTACATGTTATATGTAATGCATATTATAACCTTAGCCAGAGCATTCTTATTTATTGCGAGCTCCTCGTAATCCTCTGTAAAGTATCTCATTACTAAGATCATGAGCACTTGTTGAGTGTTCTATAAACCATAAACCACAGTTTTATGCACAATAAAGAGAAGCAATTCATTAGAAATCTCAGTGTTCTTAGGGCAAAGTTGTCAAGAGTACATACTCTGTGAGTCCCAAATATGAAAGCCCGATGAATCTGAATGGAGTTTGTCCCTCTCCTTTGCTTCAAGGCACGGAGGAGTGACAGCAGGAACTTTCTGTGCTCTGGCAACCCTTATGCACCAACTAGAAAAAGAAAATTCCGTGGATGTCTACCAAGTAGCCAAGATGATTAATCTGATGAGGCCAGGAGTCTTTGCTGACATCGTAAGTAACAAAGCAATGAAGCAAACTTCTCACTGCTACTACTTACTTCCTAGAGGCTGCCAGCATCATTTTATCCTACATCAAAAAAGGCCACATTGACTGACAGCATTAGATGTAGTTTTCGGCCTGAATTACAAGTTATTCTGTCTCCAGTCCATATAACTGGAACTATAAATAAGAAACATTTACATTTTTTCTTCTAGAAAATTTATGGCTAAAAATTTTAAATGTGTGCTTTTTTTTTTACAAGATTTATTGTAATTCTGCCAAATATCCCCAGTAGAAGCACCAACACCCTGACTTATCCAACAAAATAAATGGCTACGTTTCCAGAGTTCAAGTTCTGCCTAGCTCAGAGAACCGTCAGAAGACACACCCAAAAGTCTTAAACTTTTGAAGTTTTTACTTTTCTTTCAAGTGAAATCTAATTTCTGAAGTTAACAACCGGCTAATTCTTGGATACTTTTAAAAAGAAAGAGAGACTCAGATGATCAAAACAGAGATACAGCACATCTGGAGAAGTTGGTTTCGACACTGAAATAATTTGGAAGTTTTTATTGTAGAAATTTGGGCTGAAAAGACGATAGGGAACTTAGTTCAAGTGGCCCAATGGGAGAAGCTTATGTGGTCTGTGCATGTATAAGGGACTTAGAAAAGGTCCATTGTTTGAGCTACAGCCCAAACCCACTGGCCAAAGGCAAGGTAACCCCTGCATACCTGCACCTCAGAGGAGCCCCTATTACACATCTCATTCAGATCCGTTGGGTTGTATCAAGCTTGTCCTGTAGGGAATTGCTTTCCAGAGGTAGTCCTTTCACCCATTTTGAGGATGCATTCAATGGGGCACCAGTTCCCATGTGGTCCTAAGGATGGTTTGCTATGATGTTAGTCCCCAACTCACTTTCTCTGCAGCTGCCTTCCCCTACCCACCACAACCACACCAGCATCTGTAAGAGGAAAGCTACCTATTCTACTGTGTCTCTACTCTGAAACCTCAGCAGGGCACACGCTCGCTCACCTTTGGTAAAGCAGGGATAGGCGCGGTCAGGTGGGGAGAGTGTGAAGAATACTGGATAAGTGGATCTTGGGAAAGGCCTGCATTCTGCATGGGTGTCTCAGCTGACTGACGTGCAGTCCTCCCCCCTAATAGACAAACCCAATGGTTTCCATAACAACTAGAGGACGGAGAATGAGCACCTTATTTGGGAGTGGGTTACAGGTGCCCCATGCCAGAGAGCTACACACAAGTTGACCAGTCACTGACGGAACCCTATCACATCGCCTTCTCGGTGACTCCATGAAGTAAATGAATAAGGACGGAGTGCTTGCCATAAGCCAATGTGTGTGTACCAATTTTCTAGGACAGTGGTCCGCAAACTCATTAGTCAACAGAGCCAAATATCAATAGTACAACAATTGAAATTTCTTTTGAGAGCCAAATTTTTTAAACTAAAACTATATAGGTAGGTACATTGTTATTAACTTAGTTAGGGTACTCCTAAGGCTTAGGAAGAGCCACACTCAAGGGGCCAAAGAGCCGCATGTGGCTCGCGAGCCGCAGTTTGCCGACCACGGTTCTAGGACAATGAAAATTAGCTAATTAAATAGTTGTGTGTTTTTTTATCCTCACCAGAGGATATTTTTCCATTGATTTTTAGAGAGAGTGGAAGAGAGAGAGAAAGAGAGAGAAACATCGTTATTTGGGAGTGGGTTACAGGTGCCCCATGCCAGAGAGCTACACACAAGTTGACCAGTCACTGACGGAACCCTATCACATCGCCTTCTCGGTGACTCCATGAAGTAAATGAATAAGGACGGAGTGCTTGCCATAAGCCAATGTGTGTGTACCAATTTTCTAGGACAGTGGTCCGCAAACTCATTAGTCAACAGAGCCAAATATCAATAGTACAACAATTGAAATTTCTTTTGAGAGCCAAATTTTTTAAACTAAAACTATATAGGTAGGTACATTGTTATTAACTTAGTTAGGGTACTCCTAAGGCTTAGGAAGAGCCACACTCAAGGGGCCAAAGAGCCGCATGTGGCTCGCGAGCCGCAGTTTGCCGACCACGGTTCTAGGACAATGAAAATTAGCTAATTAAATAGTTGTGTGTTTTTTTATCCTCACCAGAGGATATTTTTCCATTGATTTTTAGAGAGAGTGGAAGAGAGAGAGAAAGAGAGAGAAACATCGATGTGAGAGAAACACATCAATTGGTTGCCTCCTGCACATGCCCAACCAAGGCCCAGACCCGGGAGGGGCCTGCAACCGAAGTACGTGCCCTTACCGGAATTGAACCTGGGGCTCTTTGGTCCGAAGGCCAATGCTCTATCCACTGTGTCAAACTGGCTAGGGCAATTAAAAAGCTATTTTAAATGTCATCAGAAGAAGACATTCATATAGATTGTGTGCCTTTGCTGAGTATCACAGAGCCCCTAACACAGAGCTCTTCCATGGACAGTGCCCAAGTGTCACTAAAAGTATTCCTTCCGTTTACAGATGGATGTCTTCACTGAGCTTCTGTTTGTAACTCCCATTCTCTGTTTCCTAGGAGCAGTATCAGTTTCTCTACAAAGCAGTCCTCAGCCTTGTGAGCACGAGGCAGGAAGAGAATCCATCCACCTCTCTGGACAGTAACGGCGCAGCCTTGCCCGATGGAAATATAGCCGAGAGCTTAGAGTCTTTAGTTTAGCACAGAGAGGGGTGACGAAACTCCCTATCTCAAATTAAACTGGAAAATCCATTTTTCTGTTCCCTGTTTTCTTTCCCATCACCTGACAGTAACTTTCATGACATAGGATTCTGCTGCCAAATTTATATTATTAACAATGTGTGCCTTTTTGCAGAACTTCTTGTAATTCACTTATTGTGCTTAAACTAAAATGATTGAATTTTACAGTATTTCTAAGAATGGAATTAGGGTGTTTTTTGTATTGATTTTAACAGAAATTTTCAATTTATAGATATTAGGAATTCCAAACTACAGAAAACATGTTGTTTTAGTGTCAAATTTTTAGCTGTATTTGTAGCAAGCAACAGGTTTGCTGGAAATATAACTTTTAATACAGTAGACTGTAAATAAAATGCTCTGCTCCTTATGATATTCAACATTTTACAACTGCAGTATTCACCTAAAGTACAAAATAATCTTCTACTTACTGTAAATACTGCTCTAGTGTCTCCATGGACCAAATTTATATTTATAATCGTAGATTTTTATATTTTAATACTGAGTCGGTTTTCTAGTTCTGTGTCATTGCTTAGTTTAATGATATAGTTCCTTGTCTGGTCTTGCTTTATGAGTCTCCTGATATTGTTCCATGTTATCTCAGTGGTTAACTCTGTTTTAGCATGTAATTTTAACTTTTATGGAAAATAGAAATACATTTGTTTTGAAAGAATATGTTTTTATGAAAATAACACCTTACCCAACATTGTTCAAATGGTTTATTGAAGGGATTGCAAAAATAAATATAAGTATTGCCATCAACTTGCATTTGCCTGTGGAGTGTTGTGCCAGAGCCTGTGTGACTGCGAATGGTGGGCAGGGTCCTGCTGAGATGATGGAAATGAAAAAGGTGGGTCTGGTGGAATTGTGATTTCAAACTGCACTGAGGCACACAGGGACTTCACAGAATTTCCCATGTTTGAGGACAACACAGTAACATGTACTGACACTGCACAACTACTAACCTGAAATTATGTGGACCTAATTACGTAATAAAGGGAACCATTATGTATGTCTTTTGGCTTAGTGGAGCTAGGAAAATGTTACCGGGAAGCTAAGGGCACCACATACCAAGAAATGTTGAGAAATTTTAGTTGAGAAGCAAACTGAGAGTTAGCTTTGCCAGTCAGGGACAAGCTAAGCTGGTTTGGAAACTTAGGTGAAGGTAAATCAGCAGGACCCACCAGCTGTGGGGAGACCAAGTGCAACAAAATAGGGAATCATGGGTAACCAGCCTGCTTTGATACTGGAAACTGTGCCCTCATGAAAGTATTAAGAATGAACATAATCCAGCTATTTAGTTAAATGCACCAGAACCATAAATTCCATCCTTCCAGTATTATACTCCCTGAGAATTTATGGCAACTGCTTCTTCATATAAAATGAATACAAACATTTAATACATGTATATACTACTTAGTATCACACCATAAGGATCTTACTTAATTTTCATATTTCTGATCTGAATCCCCCTAATTTGTTAGCACTTAAAAAGACTCATACCAGTTATCTGCTATACAAAACATGGAAAATAAGATCTCTTTAAAAGCAGAAACATTTTAAAATATTTTCTTAGAATTAAATCCCACTCACAATAGCACACAGAATCAGACATACTAAGCATTTATTGAATTGAAATTAACTTTTTAGAAAAAGTGGGAAAGAAAATCTACACATTTGTCAAAATAAAGAAAAGCTTTTGTTATAAAAATTAAAATGATTTAATATTATTCACTCACTTGCGAATTGTAAAATATTCTGGCACAATATTGGCATGTGAGTAGGTGGTATTAAATGTTAAGGCATGTAAATGAAACACACTACACCAGTTTAAAGAATCTAGACATCCTTGTCGTTAAATTATAATGAACAAGTTTTTCTAAGGTTATCATTTCCTAAAAGAAAAACAAGAGTGATGTCAGAGGAATGGCAGCGTAAGAGATTCCCTTGGCTTCTCCCACTGAAATTTCAGCAAGTTAACCAACTCTAATTCAACAAAGAATTCCCTACTCAATACAGAGGCATGCCCAAGAGACACGCCAATCGAAGTATCTAAAGATGGACAACCGGGAATAAATAGAAAGATGAGAGGAGGAAGCTGGAGATCGCAGGCACTGCCTTAGGCATGAAGGAGCAGAAAGTTGCAGAGGGCAGTCCAGCAGGGCAAGGAGAGTGAACAGTGAGCCAGCAGATGACAGACAGGGCACGGGGTTCTGTGCATGGCTGTCTGTTGTTGGGCGTTGGAATTTCAGACAAAAAAAAATGGAACTACAGAGCCCTGCTGCCCCTTGGACTCCCAAAACTCGTCTCCCGTTGCCCTTGGTGTCAAGTAAAGGAGCACATTACCTGTAAATCAAAAGTTATTGCAGTATAAGTGCTGCTTCCCTCTGTGATTGATCCCCAGTTCAGGTCCTTGGGACGGGTCCCCACGAAGGCCTGGGGTTGCCATTATGGTGAGGGCAAAACAAACCCCACCCCCAAGCAGTGTGGCTGCACTGTCTTACAGAAGCTGTGGCAGTAAGTTCTGGGAGATAACAGAGGTAAAAATCTTGGGATTCAGCAACATCTACTTAAAAATAGTAGAAAGACCTCTTCAGAAAAAGCTGCTAGAAAAGGGCCATTAATATAGACATCCATACATGCCTGGACAAAGGAGACCAGCAAATGCCACAAATAACCATGAATACCATCAGTAAAAAGGATGCTCAGAAAGAAAATGAAAAATCCCCAGAAAGCAAGCTGGAACACATAGAAATTATATATATATATTACCCTAATATGCAAATAGACCAAAAGACGGAACAACCGAACAACCGGTCGCTATGTGCGCTGACCACCAAGGGGCGTGGTCGGAAGATGGCGGGCATCGGCTGCAGCAGGATGGTGAAGCAGGTGAGCAGGGGCACCAGTTGCTGTCATCTGGGCGAGCCTCTGGTGGTTACTGAAAATTCTTTGTTCCCACTTGTGCGCCACGGTCCCGCCCCGCGCTCACAGCTGCTGCTGGTGCCAGCCCCACTCACACCCACTGCTGGGGCCGGCAGCCGCCTCTGGCACCTGCTGACAGCACACCATCGGTGGGTGCAAGGGGCTTCTCCATCCCCCTGCTCCTGAGGGACGATCAGGGCCAGCAGCTGCCTCTCGCACCTGCTGCCGGCGACAGCCCCATTCACACCCACTGCCAGCACCAGAGCTGCTGCTCACACCCACTGCTGGCACCGGCTTCGGTCCCGATCGCTTGGCGCCATCAGCAGGTGTGAGTGGCAGCGGTGGGAGCGGGGCTGCCAGCAGGGAGGGGCTGGGTGAATGTGCAGAGGATGGGCCGAGACCTGCCCCTGTGCCCACTGTAGCCTTGCGGCCCACGGTTTCTTCCAAGGTGCATGAATTCGTGCACTGGGCCCCTAGTATGTGATATAAATAAGAGATTTCAAGTCATTTAACTTTGTAAGACACATTTTCTCTTCTGCAACATCAGAGTCCTGGCCAAATTATATTTTGGTCCTTTCTACTCTATGACCACTTTAAGATTCTTGTTGTGGAGCAGATACATCTATAGTTCATTTAAGCAGCATGGATGTTTGAGGAGTCCTCCAAAGTTATCCAAAAGATTGAAAAAAAAACACACCTCAAAGCTAAAATCTTATTAACTTTAACATAAACTTCAGGCAAAAATGTTATTGCTAAAGAGGGAATGCTAATCTTTTGGAAAATCTACTAGGTAACAGGCTTTTATTCTCTCATTAACCTTTATAACCATCCTGTGAGTCTCTGTTATCCTCATTTCATGTAGAAGGAAACAACTAGCATATTGAACGACTAATCACAGTGCTTCTCAGAGGCCCAGGGTCTACTATCTCAAGGGTCCAGGACAAGGAAAAATGGACAATAGAAAATAGAATCTGAAAGAGACCAAGAAGGTAGAAAGATCTGGAAGATGTGGACATTGAGCCTACCAACATGGTTAGACCAGGGGTTCACAAACTATGGCTCAAGGGCCAAGTCGGCCCATCACCTGTTTTCATAAAGTTTTAATGGTACCAATCATGTCCACTCATTTAGGTGCCATCAATGGCTGCGTTCACACTACAAAGGCAGAAAATAGCAGCTGTGACCCCCCCTTAGCCTTCAAAGCCTAAAATATTTATTTACCATATAAGTTTCCTGACCCTCTGGAACACATAGAAATCTATATATATATAAAACCCTAATATGAAAATAGACCATAGAGTCATATGCTTATTAACTATAAGCTATCCATTCATCCCCAGATCCTACCACCACCATCTTTATTATCGAAATTTCTGTTGGAAAGTTTGTTACTGAAAGCCAATGTCTTTACTGGAGCTTACTGACATTTCCTTTTCTAGCGCTGACATTAAACCAGCCTTGTGATCACATCCCCTTTATCATTGTTATCAGAAGACCCAAAGCAGTTAATTATATCGAGATCTCAACAAGTTCCCACTCCCAGCAAGGTGCTAGTTCCCTGGTTCCCATTCCATCAGGGCACTCTTCAAGGTTGGGGGTGGAATCAAGTTCTATTTCCAAATTCATTATGTTAAACTCAATGCTGAGGTAAAAACTTCCATAACAGAATGTCTTTACTTATTAACAGATTATTGCTCTCCATATAGTACATATTTGTGATAGGTAGGACCAGGCCTTAAATCAACTTTGATCCTTTCAAATAGCATAGATGCTTTCTCGACTTTCATATACTCCACATCTAATCTCTGCTATTTCAAGGGTGGAATTAGTTTTAGATGCCAGGATATGAGCACAGTCAAGTGAAAGTCAAACAGGCATTTAGTTTATATGTATAACTAATTATAAAATTTTTATTAGTTATATATAATGTTTTTCCCAAGGAGCCAACAAATGTTTTATTTGTAATCGAATCTCTTTTATAACAACTTGAGATCTAATTCACATCTCATACAATGTATATTCAAAGTATATAACTCAGTGATTTTTTTAAGATATTCAGAATTGTCCACCATTACCACAATCAACTGTACAATATTTTCATCACCCCAAAAAGGAACCCCCAACTCATCAGTAGTCACTTCCACTCATCTCCAGCTCTAAGTAACCTCTAATCTAGTTTCTCTACATACAGATTTGACTAATCTGGACATTTTATATAAATGAAATCATCTATGTGGCCTTTTCTGTCTGGCTTCTTTCACTTTGCACAATGCTTTCAAGGTCCATCCATCTTGTAGCCTGTATTAGTAATTCATGTATTTTTTTATTGTCAAATATTCCATTGTATGAATACACCACCTTTTGTTTATGCATTTATTAGCTGACTGACGTTTGGATTGTTTTCATTTTTGGCTATCATGGATAATGCTGTTACAAACATTTCTTTACAAGTTTGCATGGACATAGTATGTTTTCATTTCTCTTGTGTATATACCTAAGAGTGGAATTGCCGGGCCATATGGTAACTATGTTTAGCCTTTGCGCTGAACTGTTTTCCAAAGCAACGGCACCATTTTGCATTTCCATCAGGCCTTTATGAGGGCTTCCGATGTCTCTACATCCTCATCAGCATGCTTTTATTACAGCTATCTCGGTGAGTATGAAGTGATACCTCGTTGTAAGTTTGATTTGCATTTCTCTGATAGCTAATGAAGTTGAGCATCTTTTTATGTGCTTATAGCCTTTTGTTTATCTTCTTTGGAGAACTGTCAATTCAGATCTTTTGTCCATTTCTTTACTTTGGGATCTTTGTCTTTTTATTGGGTTATAGTAGTTCT